GCATGATGCCATGCAACCCAAATGGACCATGCCAATCGGGTCAAGTACATACCAAATATAGTTATGGACCATGCCAATCTTTTGGGCTTGGGCCATGGGTTGAGGGGACCATTATGGGAAAGGGAAAAATGGTCTTTTACCCCCTTAGCATGTTAGATTGTAATCTGGACCTTTCATTGGTTATTACTGTGATTATTTATTATGGTTAATTTTGAATGTTCAGTGTGAGGAGCCGTGGTAGGAGCATCCCGAGAGTGTGGTTCATCTGTCTTCAGATTGAGGTGAGTCTCCTCACTGTATTTGTAGGTCGAAGGCACCAATTTCGGCCCACTGGATTATATAGTAGGATAGTAGTGATCTGTGTGACACTTACTGATATGCCTGTATGTGTTTGTTGTCTTTATGACTCTTGCTGATATGATTGTATGCTTAGTTGTAGGGGTGAAATAGAATCATACCAGTTGAAAGATATTGAAGGAATCGGAAGGGATTCAAGGAATCATAAGGGACTCAAGGACTTAAGGAGTCGGAAGGGACTCATCGAGTCGGAAAGTACTCAGGGGTGAAATAGACTTGTGCATGTTTTGCTATGATATGTATGTATGATGTATGGTATGTGGTATTTGGGGAACTCACTAAGCTTTGTGCTTACGGTTTAAGTTTATGTTTCAGGTACATCCAGTTTGAAGGGGAAGGGTTCGGGTTGATCGCAGTGCATCCACTTATGTTTTCCACACTTTTATGATTTTGGAAATTGTAATCTGATAACTATTTTACTATGACATACTTTTGGATGGTTTGACATGATTATTTGATGGTTTTTGTTGAATTAAAAATGAAATTTTTACCTATGATTTTTGGGATGTTACAAGAATTTTTTAAAAATAAGTTTTTGAAGTGTTTATTTTTAATTTAAGAAATATTAGTTTTTTAGAAAAATGTTGAACATAATATGATCCAAAATGTGATGATTTAAAATATTTATGATTCAAAAAAAACTTTTAATTCAATTTGTTTATGATCCTTAATTTGTTATGATCTACAAATATTTAAATTAAAATATTTTATAATGTTTATTTATATCTTTTATGATTCAAAATATATAATGATCCATAATTTTTTTTGGAACGAAAACTTCATTTAATTGAATATATTATCGATCCAAAATCATATGATTCAAAAACAATATGATCCAAAATACTATGATTCAAAATATTTTGATCCAAAAATAATTTGATTCAAAAATAGTATGAATGGAAAATATTATGATCCTTCATTTTTTTATTATTTAAAATTTTTATAATTGTGAAAAATTAAAAACTCAAACTGATATTTAATTTTAAAAAATAAAAAAAATAAAAAATAAATCAAAAAATAAAAACAAAAATAAACAAAAAAAAGTAGAAGCTTCAAGTATGTAGTAAAGACATTAAAAAAATTATAAAAAAGTGAAAAAAAAATCATTTTAAATAATTCTAGAAAAAAACGAAAAAAAAACTAGAAAAAAATAAAAACCTAAAAATCGAGTATATATATGTTTAAATTGTTATTTGAATTTTTTTAAAATTAAAAAAAACGAAAAAAAAAAAAAAAACTCACATAAATGACGTTCCATAGACGTCCGTCGCATGTGGTTAAATCATCGAGTTTGTATTAATTACCACGGACGTGGGTCATATGTGAACACACCACGCACAAGTATTGGGTTTGACGTTTATGCACTTGATGAAATAGGTGGTGGAGAATTGTCATCGCAGTCCTCACCATTTTTTGAGTCCTCACCGGACCCTATATATATAAGTTATATTTATATCTTAATAAACTAGTTCAATTTATATAGAAAGTAGTTTTATATAAAAATAAGATATTTATATATTCATATTTATATCTTAATAAGCTAGTTACAATTTATATATAAAATGTAGTTTTATATATAAAATAAGATATTTATATATGACTAGTTATATAGATATATATGTTGAGAATTCTTTATAAATAAGATTGCTTTTTTATAAAGATAACACACATACATACAAATATATATATATATATATATATATATATATATGTATATAAATATGTAATAACTAGCCATGAGACAACTTTTGTCTTCTTTGAGTCATGTTTTTTCGAAAATTGAAAGGGAGACCAAGCATGACTCTCTTTTGAATTATTTAATGGTGCATGCCATGCTTGGAAGAAGGTTGTCCCATGCTCCTTTTTTGTTTTATGGTCTCCCTTTGCTTTTTGGCCTTTATATAAGGGAGAGTATGAAGGCATTAGAAACAAGTTCTTGCATAATTCTTCTTCTTTTTTTGGAGCCTAAAGCCGAGAGCATTATGCTCATATAGGGCTGCCAAATTTTCGAGATTAAGGCTCTCCCCTCTTCTCCATTCTCTTGCATTTTGATGTTTGAAAAAGTCCCTTTGTTGCTTCACCTTTGAACATATATTTGGTATATATTTCAAAGGCTTATGAACAACAAATTACAAGTGAATACTAGCATGTTTTGATGGTTCTACTCTTGTTTGATGGATACTTCTAGAGAACTCTTGTTTTAAAATTTCATGTCACGCTTCATCAACTTCCAACCTCCCATGAGGATCAATGTCTTCAAAGGTTGTTATGTTTTTTCTCTTCTATGGTTGTTTATCTTTCTAACTCTTGCAAAATGATCATCGGTGGGTAAAATAGTTTTAGTTTTATTCAACAATTTTAAAGCTTCCGTTGTCATTTTTACCGGTTGTGAAACTATATTTTTGAATAAAAACCTAACAATTGGTATCAGAGCCAGGTTTTGCAAGATTAGTTAGATTATTTCTTTAGTTGATGAAATCTTTGTTTTTGGAAAACATGGATGGTTTTCTCTTTGCAAGAAAAATTCATACATATTTTCTATGACAACTTTAAAATGTTTATAATTGTTATTTTTGACCAAAAGTTTACATGCATCTTTTTGGTCATAAAAGTTGTCTTAGAAAAACAAAGAGTTGTTTTATATTTTTGTTGATTATATAAATATGTATGATGTGCATAAACTAGCCATGAACCTTTGTGTTGTTGCATGCGTTGATTTATTTAAAACGGTTGTAATTAATTAGTTATTCATATGGTATGCAATAATTAAATAGATAGTTTTCTTTTGTTAATTTTTTGTAAGTAATAGATTAGTTTTAGAAATAGTTTATTTTTATAAAAATGTAACAATAATGAACATGGTGACCATTTTGAAGATCAAAAGTTTATAAAGTTGATTTTATTAAAGTTTCTCAAACTTTATAAAATTATTTTTATAAACTTGTTACAAGGTGTTGAAGCAAGTGGGAGCATATGGAGACTTTACAAGATAAATATCTCTTATGTCCCTTTAGGAATGAACTTGATAATTTTGTGATGGCTCACAAAATTATTAGTAGTTAATGGCTTGGTTTATGCATATATGTTATAATTGTTATGCATGTTTGTGTTGTTTTATGTTTATGTTATTATTATTATGTTATGGTTGATAAAATTAGTTTTTCAAATGCAAAATAATATTTGAACATAAATAAACATCACAAGGAGTTTGGTTTTAATTAAATTTATCTTTTAACATAAGATGTTAAAAATAGTTTTACAATAAAACAAGCTTTATCGTTAAAACTAGTAACTGATAAAATTTCGGGATTAAAATTGTATAAGTTTAAAATTGAGATTTGTAAACTTATCAAACTCCAAACCTTATTTTATAAAAGGAAGTTTTATTAAAAAGTTTTCAAATGTTCTAAAGCACTCAAACAATATAACTTAATACTAGTTATTAATTTAAAACTTTGATCGCGTCAATTATATAAAACCGGGTTTTATATATAGAACATTGTTAAAAATGTGATTTTAACATGAAATAAGTTTTTTAAAGTATACCATGGTTTATTGAATGCATGCAATAACCATGATATAACATGTTTTTTAAACTAGATTTATAAAAAATCAAAAACCCCTTACAAACCTCAAATCTATGCAATCCTTTTTAAATAACACTCGCACGTCTCTTGTATGCACTAGTGGGATAAAGACCTAACCGTTTATTGTCATCTTTTGATGGCTGAGGTGTTTTCGTGATTTCTATAACCAAGTTACACTACAAAAAAATAACATTTAGTGGCACACATTTTTAATGGCATATCTTTTTTATGCCACTACAGTATATTTTTAGTGGCATATTTTATATGCCACAATAAAATTAATAGATTTAATGGCACTTAATAATTTATGTCACTAATATTAACATTTGTTAATGACATAAAAAAATTAAAATGCCACTAAAAGCTCTATATTTTGTGTCATATATTGCTTTATATTTTATATACCACTAAAATTTTATTATATGATTTTACGTTTTTGTGCCACTAAAAAGATTTGAGTTTCCTTAATTATTCCCTACTCCAAAATAAACCAGCGTTTATTTCTAAAAACCAAGAAAGAAAACAGGTGTTATAACAAAGGAAATTAGAACGCTTCCCCCATTTCTTATACCCTAATCGATCGAATTTCACATCTCCAAGCATCATACATCCCGCCGACGGTGAATTTTCCAAAATCGAATAGTTGATTTCATCGGATGCTTATCCAGATTATGATCAACAATCTCCAAATCAAAATCCATAAGATGAGATCTAGTGCTCCTTATTGTGTTATTACTCTTCTCCAAAACAAGACAAAGCTACGATCGAGGAAGCTGAAGCAATTATTATGCAGAATTCTCCTTTTATCTTCCATCGCAGGGGTTTTAATCTCGAAGCCTTCTGCAAATACCACTCCAGTGCTTCTAATCTTGTTTTATCTCCATCTGGTTCGGTAATCATACTTTAATTTAATTTTCATCTGATTTCATCCTTTGTTTATGCACGTTGCTAAATTATTGTTCGAATGTCGATGGTTGAGATGTTTTTCTCTCAGTTGACTTTGAATATAGTCCTGAAACGCATTATCTTGCTTCTATTTTTTTCCATGATTGTCAAAATGTGAGTCGATAATGATTCTTGTGGAAGTTTTAGTTTATCTTTTGATAAACGCTTACGTTTAATGTTGATAGATGACTTCCAATTCATAGGTTCTCTTCCTAATTGAGTATTATGAATTGTCATAAATTAAGACTTTGTTATAGTTGTTCACGCTCTCCCACTACACCTGATAGATGGGGATGGGGATGGGGTGGTACTTTCAATGCAACTGGACTTGGTTTCAATCAAGTAAAACTAGCATAATGTGGACTTTCTTCATGCGCTTGATGCACCCTGATGGGTTTCCAGATGGTGTTACTAGTGATTACTTGGAGTTTTCTCTCTGGAGAGGCGTTCATGGCATCACATATCAACTTAGTGGTGTTCTTTTCACACAAGTAAGTCTAGTTTATTAGGTTTCCCTTACTGATTCATGAGAGTTGATTACTTAAGTTTGCATCAATTTTGGATTAGTGTTTGTTTAACCATGTGATAATTGTATCTTGTAGTCTTTGTTATATGTTGGTGGATTGGGGAAACGGGCGATTCCAACTGCTGCAGCTATGAATTGGGTCCTCAAAGATGGAATTAGGTATCTAAGTAAAACCTTTTTGTCAAAATTTGGGCGATAAAAAGTAAGAATTGTGTGCTTGAGGTTATTGGGCTATTTTGTAACTTTAGACTAGGGGTGTTGCATATTTATAAGAGAAAAAGGAACTCGATTAATATTTGCCAATATGTATATCTATATTGGTCTATGGTCATTTTGAATATAACAATATAATAACTTGTAATAGCAAAGGGAGAAGCTCATGGAATAGAGCAAAATCAACACTGGGAATAACACACTTTTCAATCATCTTTTTTATACCAACTTTAAGGAAATAGATGCTTGTAGTGAGGCATGTTTTCTTTTTCTTTATTTTTATTTTATTTTTTTGGCATATAATTTGTTGATTTTTTAACAGGTCTCAGACTACTAAAGGTATTTGGATAATAAGATGTCCTACTATTAACCTTGCACCATTGTAATGGATCTTGAGGCTAATGATGGATGAAAGTGAGGATATGTTATTTTAAAAATATTGTGTTGAAAAAACAAAGTGTGTTTTTTGCGCTTGTTGTTTCAGATATAGTGCTTATAGACATGTAAATTTTCCTTTTTTTCTTGTAGATCGAAGTTATTTTTTAAATAAGTTTGTGTTACACAGGTGGTGTCATGATATTGGGTGTGAGCAGGCTACAAATAAACCTCTTTTGAAACTTCTGAAAACTGTTTTCCAGATTAGTTTTTTGCACCTATATATTTGTAGTTTTATTACTTTTATACATTATTTATGACCTGTTTATTGATCTTGTGGTTCATGTTTTTCAGGTTGAGGTTGTTTAGTCCATGTAAGACAACTTAAATGTTTTTATACGCAATAAAACAAGGGTAATTTTGTCTCTTTTATCTTACTTCTGTATACATGTATTTTATATTATCTGATGCAAGTATTCTTTTATTTATTTATTTATATATAGACACCCGTTGAAAATCTAGAGTTTGTCTTGAGGGAAGATATCAAGAAGGTATATTGTTGCTTTTGGTATATCTTATTATTTCATTAAAGTATAACTTTTAATGATATGTCATTTTCTATAGATATGAGATTATGTTCCTAAGCCATAAGCCACAAACACACCTGAGTGAATTTTTCAATGTAAGATGGGAAAATATAGCATTTCAAATTTTCACTAATCTTTTTCTTTTGTATATTTACTCTTTCCTTATATAAAATAATTTCATATCTACAATATCATAACTTATCACTTGCATGACTAAGTTCAAGTTTTTGCACTATCTAGTTATAAAGAAAAAGGAAGAACGGTTTAAAGAGTATGTTTGCCTCTTTTTAAAATATTTACAATTATACCCTTTTGAGATGCAAATTATACTAGTTATTTTTTTTTCTTTGAATGTGGTTGATTAGAGGCAAAGGTACTTACATTCTATTTCCCATAGTGGTCTAGCAGGTGATAGGCGAGGGATAGTTCCTTTTTTTGGTTTTTCCAACTCACAAGGTAATAATTGTAGACTCTTTTTATAAAATATGACATTCTGTAAAAATATTAAAAGCTCTTGTCAAATTTTTTGGTGATGGTGGCAACTGTAAGATGTGAAGAAATTGCTAACGAGAAATATTCTTCATTTGTCACAAATAAGGTACGTATTTTGGTAACGAATTATTTTTAAACGTTTTTTTTAGATATTTAAGTTAAATAAATTTTACAATCTAGTTATGTGTTTGGCTTTTGAAAGAAACTTAGTTCAAAAACAGTGGGACTGTCATGTTTTTTGTCACACTTTCAAAGTGATAGCAACATAATTTAAAAGTAGGTTGCTATACTTTCAAATTATACCAATCTACTTTGAAAGTATATTGCTACTTTGAAAATGGGACAAAAACATTGGTAATGTCATGTTTTTTCTCATTCTTTCAAAGTAATCTAGTTATGCTTTCTTTTGGTTCATTCATACAAGAGTTGTAGAAGGTATGGAGAGTTAGAGACTAATGATATATATGGTAAGGTGGATATTTTGGTAATTTTTTGAACAATAGCATTATAGTAAACTAGTAATAGTAGTGACTTACATTTTTATTAATTTATTTCAAATGCCATGTAGCACTTCCATAGTTCCATGCAACTCTAATTCAGTCAACCACCAGGGACCGTCTTCTGAATGTCTCCATAATGATGGTAATCAGTTTTAAGTGCTTTCGCCTTCTATTTGTTCTTACAGACATAGTTGATCTGTTCTTAATGCTAAATTATTTATTTCTAAACTATGAATTATGTAACTATGTTTTAAATTGTCTTTGTTTGTTTTTGGACCAGAAATTGCTAATATTGATTTTAGAGTATGAGATAACACGATTTATTCTACGTAACATGGAGTTTGGGGAAGTTCATATGCAATTAAGTTTCAAGTTTATTTATTTATTTGTTTATTATTATTTATTTACTTTATGTTTAAAATGTATTTGGTTTCACATTTATAAATATTTGACATTTACTTAGATATTTGATTTAAAAAGATTAAACCCATTGATGAAAAATAATAGCATTTTTATTTTTTTTCTATGTGCTACAATTTAATTATTTATTTTATTGTATATTATCGATAAAAAAAATATAGATATAAATAACCTAAATTCTAGAATCTTGTTAGTATTTATCTGTACAAAATGTGTCATAAAATAATTTTTTGTATTGTGACAAATAAAAAGTGTCACTAAAATCTTAAAATGTGTAACTAAATAAAGAATGAATTCTTGAATCAAATGAGCATTCAGTGGCACAAAAAATGTGCCACAAAAACTTTTCTTCTACCGTGACAAATAAAAAATTGTCACTAAATGTCTAAATTTCTGCAGCGGCAAAAGCAAAAAATGCCACTAAAAGGTTTTAGTGGGAGCGTTTCTAGTGGCACTTATTATGTGTGCCGCAGATTCTTTGACATGCCTTTAGTGGCATTTTTTTGGGGTTTTAGTGACACTTTTTGTGTGCCACTAAATGACATATTTTTTGTAGTGTTATAGGTCGATTACAGAAGTTTTTCAAATTGGATGATTTGTTCGGAGATCTCTTGTGATAAATGATACATAAGCAAGAGAGTTCTGATGCATAGATGAGATCAGACATGTCTAATTAAATTTGTTATTAGCGATCCCATAAATCTAGGAATTATATGGTAAGATATAATTAATAATCGATATCTACCGGGTTGAATTCAGATGAATGAGATAAATGATACCTGACCATTTATTTGTTTTGCAACTTGGATCCTAGACTTTGATAATTAATGTTTTTAGAAACTAAAATGGGTATTAATTATTAAAGATTAAATATTGAAAATACTAAATGAATTTTGTTAAAATTTTATAGATATATAATCCACTCTCATAACCATGAATTGTCATTTCTCTTTAAATGACTTAATGAAACAATAACATTCAATAGATACAACTTCAATGAATGAGTTCATGTCTTAAGAGACAATCTCGTGAGAAATGTAAAATTGTATACACTTAAAGGACCTATTCCTAAACAAATTGGTTTGAGGAATAAACCTGAATATGATACCTAGTAAATGCGTCACAGTGATGCTTAAGATACTTCTAACATCATACTAGGAACATTTATTCATGACTTCTAGAAAGTTTTGGATAATTTATATATATATATATATATATATATATATATATATATATATAT